CTTGACAAGGGGAATATTTGTCATGTAATAGTTGGTAAGCGGTTTGAAAACTGCAACTTTTTTATTATTTATGAGTTTCTTTCAAGAAGATTTGTACGTGGTAGTGCCATGCTGCAGCTATATTACTGGTATAGTTATATCACGAATGGGTCGGCTCGACTGGGGAAGGACCACGCTCTCACAGAATACCAGCGTAAAATAGCAGCTTAACGCTGCTGTGTTTCGAATGGTGAGTGTAGAGAACCGGAGACCCCTTTTTACTGAAAACGAAGCATTCCATCTTAGTCCTCACGGGTGACAACGCATCTGCATTTTAATTCGTAATCGAAGATAGATGTAGATGTCTATGGGCCGCAGCAACCACTTACCATCAGGTGGACTGTGTGTGCGTTTGTCACCCATATCCTATAAAAAAAAGGTGCTGCTGTCTTTTTCATTTCCTTCTGTCGCCTCCTACCACACCCACGGGACGATATTATAGTGTAGTGAATTCTTTTACGCTGTCATTACATGGGGATTTTTTTTAATATTTTTTTTTTGTAAATGACTTGTTCAATGATGCAAAAAATTATAAAACAAATTCTTTAGTGTAATTTTAGATGACGGTACATCGTCATACTGCATTTTTTAAAATAAGATAAGGGTGACAAACGAGCACACAGTGTACCTAATTGTAAGTGGTTGCTGTGGCCCATAGACATCTACATCTATCTTCGATTACGAATAAAATGCAGATGTGTTGTCACCCGTGAGGATTAAGATGGAATGCCTCGTTTCCAGTACAAAGGGTCTCCGGTTCTCTACACTCATATATAAAGAGATAGAGATACAGCAGCGTTAAGCTGCTATTTTACGCTAGTATTCCGTTAGAGCGTGGTCCTTCCCCTGTCGAGCCGACCCATTTGTACTACAACCATAATATAGCGTGGCTCTACCACGTATATAATATTGATATTGGATATCCAAGGAATTCTGTTGCCGATTTCAAGGTATTCTTGATAGTCATTTTAGAAAACTTTCTTTTTTCTATCGACTTCAAAAAGAAGGAAGTACTCAATTCGACTGTATGTTATTTTTAATGTGTGTTACTTCATAACTTTTGAAGTTATACTTCTTTTGGGGATATTGGAAAAAAACGATGAAAGTGAATGTTTACAATGCGTGCGTACACCTACAGCTAAAAACGACACCATAAACTTGTTACGATGCGCGCGCACACCGTAACCTAAAAGCGACAACTTCAGTGGGTAATTGTCTCTCAAGTTTTTATTTTGTTAAGCTAAAGAAGTATAACTTCCTACGTGCGTACATATGTAAGTACACACACACACACTTACACTTTGTTTTCTAGGTGAACCGATTTCGATGATTCGTTTTTTATTTGAAAGCTGATGCTTCTCATGTGGTTCCAAATAAATTGATCAAGGTCTGACCAATAGATTTTTGTTATCTTTAATAATTTCTATTGAAGTCGGTTGTACAAAATTTATAATTTTAAATTGTGTTCTTTCATAAACCACAATTTGTAAGTGAAAGTTGAACATAATACCTTATGGTATATACCTAGTCAGGTCATAAGTAATGTCACACAGTAAAAACTTTTCTTTTAGAATGCTGGCCACAAAAAAGTTTATTGAATTCGAATTTCGAATTGTTCATGAAAATAAAACTGTATACTTTTTAGAATTTTACTCATTTTTAAATATGGAGTGGACGCTTAAAGAAGACCGTATTGCAGTTATTGCGTTGCATCGTTGCGGTTACGCGCCAATTCAAATTTTTGACATACTGAAAAATTTGAATATAACCAAAAGATTCGTTTATCGTACCATCAAACGATACAATAAAGGCTCTAGTGTAGATGAAAGGTCAAGAAGTGGACGCCCTCGGTCTGTTAGGACTCCAGCAGTGATAAAAGCTGTGAAGGCGCGAATTCAAAGAAATCCCAAACGTAAGCAGAAACTGTTGGCCCTTCAGATGGGGTTAAGCAGAACCACGGTGAAAAGGGTGTTAAATGAAGGCTTAGGGCTTCGGGCATATCGAAAAAAAACAGGACATCGTTTAAATGCGCGTCTAATGGACCTGAGACTGAAGAGATGCCGCGCTTTGTTGAAGCGGTACGCGGGAAAAATATCGGGAAATTCTTTTTTCGTATGAAAACATTTTTTCAGTTTTATAAATTCCAGTCCAGAATTTTTTTATTATATATTGAATCCGTTAGATTACAAGATATGGCAACACTTGGAGGAAAAGGCGTGCTCAAAGCCTCATCCCAATTTGGAGTCACTCAAGACATCCTTGATTAAGGCAGCCGCCGATATTGACATGGACCTCGTTCGTGCGGCGATAGACGACTGGCCGCGCAGATTGAAGGCCTGTATTCAAAATTACGGAGGTTATTTTGAATAAACTTTAGTGTCATAAGAATCTATGTTTTATTAAGTTCATTTTGGTATATAAATGGTTACATAATGAATAAACTTGTTTCAATTATTTTATATTAAACATGTGACAGAATTTATGACCTGACTAGGTACAAACGTATCCAACTGCAGAGAGGTGTAAGACAGGATGACGTTATATCCCCGAAATTCTACACCGCTACATTGGAAGACGTTTTCAAGCTGCTGGACTGGAAAGGATGCGGTATCAACATCAATAGCGAGTACATCACTCACCTTCGATTTGCCGACGATATAGTCCTTATGGCAGAATCGCTGGTGGACCTAAGCACTATGCTCAATGACCTCAATAGTGTCTCCCAACGGATAGGTCTTAAGATGAACATGGACAAAACAAAAATCATGTTTAACGTCCATGTCACACATATGCCGGTAGTTGTTGGGAGCACTAAGCTCGAAGTTGTTGACGAGTATGTTTACCTGGGACAAATAGTCCGACTAGGTAAGTCGAACTTCGACCGAGAAGTCAATCAACGGATTCAACTCGGCTGGGCAGCGTTCGGGAAACTACGACACATCTTCTCGTCAGACATATCTCAAAACCTTAAAACGAAATTGTACAACCAGTGCGTATTGCCAGTGATGACTTACGGATCTGAGACGTGGTCCTTCACTGCTGGCCGTATGAGGAAGCTCAAGGTTGCTCAGCGAGCTATGGAGAAGGCTATGCTCGGGGTTTCTCTGCGTGATAAACATAGAAATGATGATATCTGCATTAGAACCAGACTAACCGACATAGCCCAACGGATTAGTAAGCTGAAGTGGCAGTGGGCCGGCCATATAGCTCGAAGAACCGACAACCGATGAGGAAGAAAGGTTCTTGAGTGGCAGCCTCGTACTGGTAGGCGAGGTGTAGAGCGACGCCCCACGAGATGGAGTGACGACCTGGTAAGACATGCAGGAAGTCGATAAATGCAGGATGCTCAGGCCTTGTGGCATTCCTTGGGGGAGGCCTATGTTCAGCAGTGGACTTGTGAATGGCTGTAATGATGATGATATACAAACGGGCAAAGAAATTTAGGTTTTATTCCATCGTAATATTTAATATATGTATTGTGAAATGTACGAGTATGTGAAAAATTCCTTTCTTCTTTTTCTTCCCCTCCTTTTCTTCAATCGTATAGCCTATTATTAGTTCACCGCTGGACATAGAACTCTCTTCCATTTAAGTGTATAAGAAGTAAATCATTTAACTGATCGCAGGCGATATCAAGTGATGGTCCTTATTGGTGACCGCAGTACCAGATATCTCACAACTTGAGTCTTCACCGTCGCCGATCTAATTCTATTCCCGATAACTTTCTAGCCTTCCCCATAGTCACCTTTTAATATTTATGACCCTACGCGACGACATAAATGTGGACGGATAATGTTAAGACTTCAATAAATCTTGAATTCGATAGGATAACGATATAACATCAATAAATCAACGTTGTTTTACAAATTTTTACATGGTTTTAGTATTGGATTTGTTTTATTTAAAAACGATATTAAAACGTATATGTTATAAAATATTTTAATTCATTTTCAATTCAATTCAATCATTATTAGATATTGTGTGGGCGCAACTTGGGGAGGCCTATGTTAAGCAGTGGACTTTAGAAAGGCTGTAATAATGATAACAATGATGTGCGTGTGCACGCAACAACGGATAGCGGTAGTAGCTTCTTTTTTGTTGTTTCTTCTTTTTGAAGTGAAAACTTCTTTAGTCACGTTGGGCATTTTTGGGATGGGAAAAAATCACTGTATTCGGGTGACCGTCACGCTTAGATACATATATGTATATACAGATGTATATACATATCAGCTATATATAATATTTAGCTCTTATGTGATTGGGAATAAGAATGAACTCGAGTGAAACACACACACACACACACACACACACACACACACACACATATATATATATATATTGTTTATTGGAGCTAAGAAGCTTACTTCTTACTGCTTCTTTCTTACATGTAGTCCTGAGACGAACAGTTTTTCCTTCTTGATGTATTTTCTTTAGCGTGCAGCTACTTTTCTGCCAGTAGTTTTTAAAAAAAACCCTCATAAATGAATTTGCAGTCGTAAACGGTCATAGATTATTATACACGGCCGCCCCACAATAAAAGTTATGTTTATAATTTCTTAATAATCATTATTAAGCTAAAAAACTTATAATGTGACATATATTAAATCTTTATAGTAATCGAATAACAGCCATACTCGACCTTATACGTTATCCCATTCCAATAAAATGTATTGTTTACAAACATGATATGTCTCATTCAGTTCTAACAATGGCGAATTCCAACATAACTTTGTTTATTCTCTTTGTTCACCGCTTCATTGATTAGCCAGCACGCAGGGCAAATGTCTCAGTTTATCACCAGAAATAAGGATAGAAAGGTTTTGCTGTTAAAATATCTAGAATTTCTTTAACGCGCATATAATTACTAACTATAATCAAAGTTTCTTTATTAATAATGTATCGTTAGTGAGAAAATATATTTAATGCATTATTGAGATAAAAGTGCCATTCAATATTTAATAATGGAAAGGAACATTTTGATATATCTGACAATTTTAACGGTGATTGAGTGTTCAAAAAATTTAGGAAAAATCTGTGATTTGGTAACGGATGACTTACTGAAGCAGTGCTATCTACGGGAGACCTTGGTGTCATTGAGCCACAGCCCCAATCAATTGGCTGTAAATAAACTCACAAACACTGTCTACTTCAGTTATGATTCCGGACAAGGAGAGTACATCCCTGCTGCGGTTCAGATCGACACAAAGAAGGTGACAATCTTGAAGGGTGTCAAAGACGCCTTTGCTGTTACTAATGACCCGATCAACAACGAAATGTATTTCGGAGGCAGCAACGGAATTTACAAGTACAACCCGGCACTGCAAAGCCTAAAACGACTGACATTGAAAAATCTTGACATTTGGTGGTTGTTTTTCAAGAGACTAATTTATTTTATCAGATTTCCTAGCTTAAACGTGTACTACTATCACAACAGATCAGTAAAACCACTCATTCCACTCAAGAACGTAACTGTCAATCAATTTGTACTAGACAATGATGAGAATATATTCTTCATTAACGGCACAGGCTTATATGGAATCAAAAATGGTAAAAGTGATATAATATTACTTAGGGACAACCCTCGATTCTTAGGAATGGCTGCGAATAACAAAGGGCACGTATATTTGTGTAGTGAAAACGAAATATTTGTTATAAGTAAGATGATTCAAAAAGTGAAGAAAATAGTGAATATACAGGGTGTATTGGGAATGACATTCGACAAAGACAATAATATGATTTATTCGGACTCTCATGAGATCGTCCGCCTCCTACCCATATCAAAAAGCTTTTCCAAATTTTAAATACAAAACTAGTCAGCTTGCTATTTCACCTTAAAAGACAAATATATTATTAAAGAAAAAATATTTTAAAGCAAACATTTTAATTCTCTTTATTTCTTTTATCTATACTTAAAAGTGTATCTTTAAAAATAATATCTAAATTAAATTTTTAATTAAAATTGAATATTTTATGTCATACTATTTCAACGCATAGAAATTTTTTATGTTGTACAAAAAGTTCGAAATTATTCATGCTATTAATAACTTAACATATGCATTAGATATGGACTGGTGTATTATGGGTACAAAACAAATGGATCGACTCAACCGGAGAATCACGCTCACACAGAGTTACCGTTACAGCGTATTAAAGTCTACTGCTGAACACAGGCCTCTCCCATAGCTTGCCTCATAGGGGGATATTTTCCATAGTTGCCACGCTTGGTAAGCGGGTTGGCAACCCCAGTTTATTTTTTATTTTTAGTCGTTATTAGGAAGACGCTCCTGCCTATCTCCTGTTTTGTCCCTTTGTCGCCTCTTGCGACACCCACGGAATAATATGGGGTAGTGGATATTCTAACACCGCCACTACACAGTAGCACAGAGTCGTAGCTAAAATTATCAGCATAACTCTACAGTGGTTCGTATGGTGAGTGTCTTTAACCAGAGACCAATTTTACTAGTAACTTGGAATTATACTTTAGTCCTCAGGGTGACCACACATCTGAATTTTGATTCTTAGTCGGGAATAGATATAAGTATCTATGGATCATAGTAGAAAATGGCATAGCATGTATATTCATAAAAATATTTTAATTTTTCACGTTACAGTGGCGGAATTTTAGAGTTTCTGAAAGATTTGAAGTACTGATTTTCCAACCACTTTCAAACACCGCTATAATTCCATCCTTACCCAGGACCTTGGCGTTATTACGGTGCTGGAGAGCCATTCTATTGTCGCTCAGACTGACATCTGGAGATCATCGGAATAATGTCAGATAGTCGTCTCTGCGACATTGAAGTGACAATCACGTTTACTTAATCTGAATTAGAAATCGTTTGATGTTGATTTTCTTACATACGTATTTTTTTTAAAACAAAACAAAGTAACATCTTACATATATATCCCATAGCTGGGCACGGGCCTCCTCTCGATTCTGTAATTGTTCGTGCATTAGGGATATGAACATCGTGCTGTATCTTAGTATGTTGTCGGACTGCCTGCTGCTAATGGGATTGTATTAGGTTAAGGAGCGCAGTATTAATTTTTAATACAAGCGCTTCTATAGGACACTTTAACATAGTCTGCATAGCCGGATTGGCTAAGTTGATTTTCTACACTCGTTTACGCTAATAGAAAACTATGTTTTTAATCTTTTAATTGAAATCAAAAACAGAATTCATAAAACGAAAAAAAAAAATTGCTATATATAATTGACGAAGATATCGCGCAATATCATACTTACAAAACAAAATACAATCATATTCTATCTCCAAATTAAACCTTTTAAATGTTGGTTCACATTTACATAACCAATCAAGCGGATTAAATTTGATAGATTGATGCAAATTGCTACTAAAAGTTTTCACGACTTTACAAATTATACTAGCAAGCAGAACAGTACTGTAGGGTTTCTAATCCGACAGCTTACTAATTGCCTTATTATACTTTAAAATGAATTTCTATCCGTATGTATAATAGGCTACCTATAGTTTCTCTGTAAAGTTAATTAAAACAGGAATTGACTTATGACTTATCGCTAATTAAGAAATGGGTCTTAAATAGCGCTAATTTTAAATAAAGCTCCTAACAGTAACGGTAGCCCTTAATTTTATTTTTATACTATGTCGTCTTGTATTTAATAGATTTTACTTAATATGACAGAAAAAATTGTCGTTTTTAAATTTTATTTAAATAAATATATTATATAGACAATATGTTACTATTCAAACGTTTAGAAATAAATTTACGCCAGAAAACTCTACCATAAAAAAAATTAAATAAATTTTTATTTCCTAATTATATGTGGGTTTATTACCTCTGCATTAGCTGAAAAAGCGGGGTCTTTGACAATATGTTAACTACCCCCTTTTCCGACGCGTGTGCCACTTGGTTCGGATGTAAATAACATTTTTTCACAACATTGACTTTGGTCAGTTACTTATTGTGAACACTAAAATACTTTAAAAAACGATCAAAAAATTCTCTGTTATAAATGTCACGCCTATATGTATATCTATACGACCTTTTTTTGAAGTGGTGGCCAAGCTGCAGCTATAATTATGGTTGTAGCAAGAATTGGTCGGCTCGACCGGGCTAAGACCCCTTGCAGAACACCAGCGTGAAATTGCAGCTTAATGCTGCTGTGTTTAATATGGTGAGTGTAGAGAACATTTTTATTGGAAACACGGAATACCATCTTAGTCCAATACATTAGGCATGGGAGTGTGTACACGTATGCCACCCTTATTCTATAAAAAAAAAAAACTCTTAAAGGATCATCGGGTTGTCCGTTACATATTGTATACTTTATAAGAAATACTAAAGTATTTCTTGAATTTATTGTATAGAATATTTAAAGTGGCAGTCTTTTCTTACCGTAGTTTAAATGTATGTAGTAGAATTTATGGAATAATGGCGGCCCGCCCCGGCTTCTTCTGGATAGGATTTATTAATGTGGCTTTATTTACTGTGCAGTTTTGGGAGCTACTTTGAGACACCTTGCCTCTTGATATCAAGCAAACTAGTAACAATAATTCGTTTAAGAGACTAGTTCGAGAATTCTACTCGTATCATAAGAATAATTCCACCTAATTGATCTGACCTTTGTTTTTTTTTTCTTTCTTTCGCATTAGAAATATTTTTTTGTACATGTATTTTAATACGTATACCGTGTTAATTTATATTTCTATTATATTATTTTATTTATTTAACAATTTTGTATGTAAGTACCCGTCATTTATACTTTATAATATATAATAGTAGATATTAAGCACGTCCAATTTATTAAGTGTTAATTTTATGAAGTGAACTGTTTACACCTGTCACAGTGTCTCAAATCTAGGGTTGACTGGTCGAGAATGCCATAAGACATTAAGCTCGCACTTTATATCCCTCATTACAATGTGTGTAATAAAGATGAAATAAATAAATAAAATATCAAAGATCACGTATTTTATCAATTTTTGATTTCTTTTTTTTTTTAAATCTTCAAGTTTTATTGATAAAATCTTAGATCCTAGATCCTTTCTGGAATTGCGTTCTATCTCTTCTATCTGTTCGTAAAGTTAAAACTTGGCTGAAAATGGCTGAACCGGTTCAGCCATTCCGAAAATTAGTCCAAACAGAAAGACAGATAAACAAAAATTTAAAAAATGGTTATTTATGTCTTAACAGCATGCAAATAACCCCCTGTGCTTAACAATAACCAGCTATTTCAATATACACACACATTCACACGCACGTGCACACACGTACATACACACACACTCACACAAACACACACACACACACACACACACACACACACACACACACACACACACACACACACACACACACACACACACACACACACACACTTGCATACATGCGCACATATACTTTTGTACTTTTTTTAATTTTTGGTTTTAAAAATAGAATAAATTAGTTTTTGTTAGTTTTGGTTTGTTAAAATAGAGTAATTGGTTTGTCGTTTTTGGTTTTTAGAATTAAAACGTATGTTTAGATAAGGAAGAGCGGGGTTTCCAAACACAAGCATTACTTGCTTAAATGGAGACCCCAATCAACTATCTAATTAATTTAAGTTTTGTAAAGAAAAATAAATTATTTTATTTATTTTATTTTTTATTTATATCTATGGACCACAGCACCTACTCACCATCAGGTTGACTGTGTGCTCTTTATTCTACAACGGAAGCGAGTTATTTAGGAGTTATTGAATATTACTACTTTGAATTCAATTCAACAAAAAATTTGTGATATAAATATTAAGGATAGCTTAGCAGGGGGGGGGGGGCGTGAATAATGATAAATGAGCTGGCAGTGTTTGCTCGATTCAATTTACATAATCAAAAAATTATTTCAGTTTGCTTTGTCTTGCTTGTCTTTGGATGGGGTCTATAATGGGAATTTCGGCTATAAAAAGCAAGAATATAATATTTTGAAATCTGTACAATAATTTATATTGGGGATATTATGTCATATTTTGTAACAGTCATACTGAACTTTTAAACTAATTCGTAATAAAATAAAATATTATGTGGCGACGCTTTCGTCGTGTTACAAGTGAAACACACCGGAACCCAAATCGCGTTATCAAAGTTCCGAAGGTACTGCAATATATATAGAATTGCTCCAAACGACTACAATGCGCATTGGCCGCTTTCCGAGATTGCCAGGCGGGAAATCTCCTCTTTTATTTCCATGGTCAAATTGGTGACCGAGACGCCGTGTTTAATACACGCAACAAAATACGCAAACTTCAAAACCTCAACTTAGTTTTTGTCATCGTCCTCATTACCCCATCCATTCCCTCCCGGACAGAAATTGTCTGCAGTGTTTATATTCTGAAAGCCATTTAGCTTTACAAGGTTGATCACAGCACTGAAATAATGCATCCAGTTCCTTCAAGCTACTCTCTGCGCTACAGTGTTCGGCACGGCTCTGAGCCTTACTACTCGCCCCTGCTTCACGGCATTCTCGCAGATTATTTGCTTTCTTCTCGACTCACCGCAGACTTCAAGGCAATCCTTGGCACTTATACATTCGTCAACAACTAAATAGCAGTATCGACATCCGGTCTGAGCAGGGAGGTGATGTGGCGGCACTGCAGCAAAAGTACTACAGTATATATAGTAGGATAACTTCAAACTACCATATGGAGCACTGGCCACTTCTCACGCTTGCCCGGCGGGAGATCTTTCCTTTTCTTTTCACGGCCAAATATTTTTATTTGAAGTGGTATAATAAATTAATTTTATTCCTCAGGGCCAATTAACTCCCTCATTGGCTTTCATCA